CAGTGACCATCAAGTCTATAGCAGTTGTACTCTTCATCGCAGTTGTTCTTCAATTACCCACGGTCCATGAAAGCAACATGGTCATTATAAGGTACTCCAGGGATCCCTATTGGCTTTGTGACATTTCGGGCTCCAGACCTGGGCGGCTGCTGCTGTGCTATTTCTTGTCGGCCACGCCATGCATGGAGGAGGCTTCTTTGACAACCTCAACCTGGGTCGACGCCTCCATCGCCTGTGTTGCGCAAGGCTGCTCATCCACTATGCCTGTTGGGGTTGACGCAATGCTGAGGGTGGAATGCTACGGGGCGTCGTCGTGTTGCTGCCGGCCGACAAGGAGGGGCTCGCGCAGCGGGACGCCGAGGTGCTGCGCATGGTGGCGTCGCTCGGGCGCCGCGTGCTCGTCGTGCTGACCAAGACGGACAAGCTCGTGCGCGCGTACCGCGGGCCCGAGGCCGACGGCGACCTGCACGGGTGGCTGCGCGGGCGCGCGGCCGCCACGGTGCGCGCTGTGAGGAGGGCGTGCCGCGGCGAGAAGGGGACCCTCGTGCCGCGCGTCTATCTCACGGCCGCCGCCATGGAGAGGCGGGAGGGTGAGTGGAAATCAGAGCCCATGGGCTGCCATCGCGGCATGGCGGGTGTGCGTGAAGCCATCATGGAGATGGCCGGCGTGGGGGAGCTGCTGGCGCCAAGTGGAAAAAAGCAAGCGGCCAAGCATGATGTGCATAGTCTCGAGGACGTGCCGGCCGAGAAGCGGTCCGAAACTAGAGATCCTGAGGCCTGGGGAGGCGAGACGATTTCTTTTGAGGACTTGGAGAAGATGTACCGAAAGAAGTAATGCCTACGCAGTTGGCCGTACGATAAGTTGTAAACCACAATGTATAACATTCTGTAACGATTTACCCAAGGAGTCACTCCCTGTGATCAGGCCTAGAAATTGGCTCTCTACCTGAATTCCATTGCTCTCAATTTTTGCTCAATTTCGCTATTCTAAATGTCCCTTAAGTTCCAATGCTTGAGAGATCCGCCCAGTTATACATGCTAATTTTGCTCGCCAAGTATGTTCCAGAAGTAACCCCTTAGCTTCCAATCTTCCCATCCTGGAACCCGATCCACGGAATCCTGATCCTCAACGCCAACGAGCTCAGCACCACACTGATGCTGCTCAACGCCATCGCCAACGCGGCCCATACAGGGTCCAGCCGAATATGCTGTCCGGAACTCGTCGTAAACGGGTAGAAGCACCCAGCCGCCACAGGCAGCGCGAGCACGTTGTACACAATCGCCCAGGCAAAGTTGAGTCGGATTCGGCGGAATACCGTGCGGCTCAGCTCGAGTAGTGTCACCACTGCCCGTAGGTCGCTCGACACGAGCACAAAGTCGGCACTCGAAATAGCGACATCGCTACCGCTACCAATGGCGATGCCGACGTCGGCGCGCGTCAGAGCGGGAGAGTCGTTGATGCCGTCACCAACCATCGCGACCGTTGCCCGTTTCATCGTGTGCTCACGGCTGCCAGAATGGGCCTTCATGGTCGATTGGAGGTAGTAAATTTTCTCGGCTTTCTGCGAAGGAAGAACCTCAGCAAGAACGTTGTTAGGGTCGATGCCGACTTGTGATGCAACGGCTTTAGCGGTCACCAGGTTGTCGCCAGAAAGCATCCACACACTCGTGCCTCGTTCTCGCAGAGCCTCGACAATGGCGACAGCCTCTGGTCGAATCGGGTCTGCGATGGACAGAGCAGCCGCAAGAGTCCAGGGCGCCGTATCCTTGGAGATCGGCTTCGTAGCAACAAGGGCAACAGATTTCGCTTCCCTTTTCCAGGTCTCGAGCTGTGCAGCTGTAGACTCGGACATGGCCACGTGGTTGTCCGACATCAAGCTCTCGTTGCCAACGATGATATCAAACGAGGCATCGAACGACTGTCCGCGACAGATGGCCTTCATACCTCTACCAGGAATCTCCTGGAGGTTGTCGACACTGGCCAACTGCTCCGTCCGAGACTTGCAATAAGACACGATGGCTTTGGCGATCGGGTGACTGCTGTTCTCCTCGACAGCCTTGAGCGCCGCAAAGAGAAGCTCTGTATCCTCCTGGCTCGCAGCCTCTTGCGTCGAGCCGGGATACGTCAGGGCGTCCGTGATCTTGGGCTCGCCACCGACCGTCAACGTGCCAGTCTTGTCGAACACCACCAGGTCAATCTTGCTGGCCTTCTCAAATGCCTCGCCGCCACCTTTGGCTAGGATGCCATGCTTCGCCGCTAGACCCCCTCCAACAAAGATGGCCGTAGGGGCCGCGAGACCAAGGCCGCAGGGGCACGCGACAACGAAGACGGCAATGGCGAACTGGAGGGCGAATGCAACCCAGCCGCTCGTCGCATCGAGGTAAGACTCCGGAAGCACGCCGGCGAGTCCTAGAATCGTCCAAGTCGCCCAGGTCAGGATAGCGATCAGCGTGATGATGGGCACAAAGTAGGCAGTGAGCATGTCGGCAACGCGCTCCATCGGAGCGCGCTTCGTCTGCCCCTCACGGACAATTTGGACAATTTGATCCAACATCGACCGCCCGGCAGCTCCAGTGACGCGCATGAGGACAGCTGCATCCTTGTTGACAGTGCCCGCAAAGAGATCGTCGCCGACCTTCTTCCTGATGAGCCGCGATTCGCCCGTCAGACTAGACTCATCGAAGCTGCTCTCGCCCTGCACAATGACACCATCTGCAACGGGCGATGCACCATGCTGAACACGCACGATGTCTCCAAACTCAATCATTTCAACCTTGACGGTCGAATCAATAGTGTTGCCAAGACTATCCTTCTCAACGAGGATGGCGGTGCTGGGGCGCAGCTTGCCAAGCATCTCAACAGCGTCGCCGGTTTTGGCCTTGCTGTATGCCTCGATTAAACGACCAAGCAGGAGGAAGAGGGTGAGGAACACAACAGAATCAAAGTAAAAATGCGTATCCTCAACGAAATCTGGTTTCTCAATGCCTGCAGCGACCAATTGGCAGATGGAGGAGACGTAGGCAATCGTGGTGCCGAGCGAGATGAGCAAGTTCATGCTACCAAACTTGTAAAAACGGCGGAGAATAGGCGTCCTACTGCCGCGCCTCCACAGATTCTTCAATTCCTTAATAGCGCGGACGTGGAATACATCGGTTGCGAAGAAGTAGACTGGTGTCGCCAAGATGAACAAGACAATCTGCGCTCGGTTGATACCAGAGACCCAAGGTTTCATGAGATAGTGCTTCCAAGGATCATCATCCGAAACAAGGTTCATGTAGACAATTCCAATGATGAAGGTGGGGATTGCGATAACCAGGCTCAAATACACTCGGCGGAGCAATTGACGCTGATGACGGGCCACCACAGCCTTCGATCGCTCTTCGATGGTGGGCGGATGATATATCGATGGACGGAACGAGGGGTCTGCAGCCTCGATAGCCGCCAAGATGCGTCGGATCGTGAGGTAGGGGGTGTTGGGCACGTAGGCTATCTGCATTTTTGGGTTTTCGACAGTCGGGGCTGAGATGATTTCGAGGTTCGGCTTGAACGCGGCCAGCGAATGCACCAGTCGATCCGGGCAGTGCTTGCAGTAGGCGCCTTCGACTAAGATTTGCACCCTCCTTTCCTGAGCGCCTTCGTGTTCAGGCTCAGCCTCGTATGCGACGACGCTGTCCACGGTGGCTTCATAGCCCATGTCCTCAATGGCCTCGGCGGTGTCATTTTCCTTGCCGGCAACTGTGAAGTCGACAGTGGCGCTGTTCGAGACAAGGTTTACTGCAACATTGGAGATCCAGTCTAGCTTGTTCAGCTCAGCTGTAATGGCATTTGAACAGGAAGCGCATGTCATGCCGCCTATGGCCAGAGTCGCCCTCCATTGTGATGGCTCCTTCACAGCGTCTGAGCCTTCCTTGGTACCAATTGACTTCTGGTCTATTGGAACAACCTCCTCCAGAGACACATCGTAGCCAATGTCCTCAATCACTTGGACGAGGACCTGGGCCTCATCCTTCTCCGTGACGTCTACAATCGCGCTGTTGTTGACGAGGTTGACAACGACCTTGGCAACACTGGGTCTTCGTTTGAGCTCATCTTCGATGGAGCGGACGCAAGACGTGCAGGTCATGCCTCCGATAGAGTAAGTGGCCCTCCAGGCGTGGCCGGCAAAATCAATAGACGAGCTCGAACCGACGGCAGTGATACTCTCGAGTGTGGATAGCGTCGCGAGATCGGACGTGCCTGACCGTTCAAGCCTTGCCCTTGCGCCGGTCAACAGCGGGGTTTGCGATCCTGAGCGTGGCGTGTGAGGCCGTGAATGGCGGCATTCTTCGCAGTTTGCCAGATGAGTCTGCTGCCTCTTGGTAAGAGACTGCTTGAACCGAGGGGCAGTGAGCAGCCTGCCGAGGGCGCCGGCACCATTGGTCTCGGCAGAATCATCGGCAGCTTGATATGAGTGGTCCGCCAAGTTGTCAAGATCAAGGCTGTCGACGGCAGCGGATGTGGTGGTTACACTGCAGACCTCGAAGCCGGCGGCTTCGAGCGACTTGGCCATGGTGGCTATGACATGGGCGACGGCGGGGCCCGTGTCGCGGTGCTCAACGGTAACAACCGATGTCACAACATTGGGCGAGATCCAGACAATGTCACGGCCGCATGCGTCGCCGAGAGCTTCTTGAATGGAGGAGACGCATGACGGGCAGTGCAAGTTCCCCAGGAGGAAAGAGGTGGTCACTCGTTTATCGTCGGTCGCCTGTCCTGCTACGGTGCCATATTGGGCAGCCGAGTCGGCGTGCACACCGGCCCTTCTCGTTGGCGCTTTCTTTCTGGGTAGCAATGGATCGGTGTCCATGATGTAGCTGATGCGCAGCTGATGTGCAGCTGATATGGGGCTTTCAGCTGAGTGTGGGCGGTCTTCGTGATCGCACTCGAGCCAAGCGTGGTCTGCTCAATGAGCGAGGTTATCGTGAGAAGCTTGTTTCGAGACTCTGTGCTGAGTTCGCCACCCCCAGAAAAAGTTGGTAGTCGGTGGGGCAAGCGAAAATGAAGAGAATTGGCAGGAAGAGCAAGACCTCGCAAGTGACACTGCAGCGGGGACAAATGAAGCTTGGTTGTATGCTGTGCGAATGCCGGCGTGTGCGAGAGGGAATGATCAGGTCAGAGTGTCGTCAAGAGGACGTGGGATTTTCTTGTCAAAGCCTGGTTCTTGGGTCTTGGTATACGTCGTTGGTCAAAACTTCATTTTGGGGGGGCGCGACCCATGTCCACTTGCAACTGCCACCAATTTACTCTTGCCTTGCATTTGCCGCGCAAACGGCGCACGCGAAACACGCGCAGAAACGGCACTGACACTGGCTTTCCAATTTGGCAATAAGGCCAACGTAAGTAATTCGGCCATGACAGCGCCTGCAGACTGCAGGGTCAGTCGAGGCGGGTCTCGCAGGACCTAGAAGGCCTGAGACGGAGATTGGTGAGCAAGTTTTGCTTGAGGCCATTGTGCCCTTGGTCGACCTGGCATGGCACCTGGACAGGAGCAAAGTATGTCACTGACGGGTTCATGCAGGTACGACCCCGACTCCCGATTGGGATCAAAGTGTCACCACTTTTGCCGATTGGCCGCAGAGGTGCCATGTGCGGCACTGTGCAGACACTGTCATATTCAAATGCATTGTGTTCGATGGCGAAAATATGCCAGCGTCAGGTGATGGAGGCTCAGCGACGACGCATGTGCTCTCCATCACCTTGTATCTTACCCAGGGGCAGTGGCCAGCTTTTTACATGTCACCCACGCACCTCGTACCAGTGGAGAACACACGGCCGCCCTCGCAGAGACCACCTGTAGGAGAGCGGGACCCAGCAAGCGTGTCCCTGCCGCCGAAATAGACACGACATACACCTGGGGGCCAGAGCGATGCGACCACAGGCCTGACGATATTGATTCTGTCGTCGGGGTAGCGCGCATCGGTGCTAGGCAAGTCAGGTAGGCAACAGACAGCACAGCACAGCACAGCACACATGGCCAGGCGCCCGCTCCATCCCTGTGCTTCGGCCCCGCCCCAGGGTCGAGGCCACGCCCTGTCCCGAGTCAAGGAGACGACGGCAGCGCCGGTGCGGTGACGGGCGGTCCGCGCTGGCCCTGTCCAAGATTGCCTGCCTGCCGCCCGTCAATATAGGGAGAGACTCGAGCGCGATCACGAGCTCTGGTCTGCGCACCCTGCCAACGAGCCGTCCCCTCCCCTCCCCTCCCCTCCTCCGATACAACCCCATCCGAGCACTGCAACGACGAGCAGAGTGCGCCAAGCCATCTCTCGTCAAATCCCATCTTGGGAAGTGTTTTTTTGCACCCCTAGCAGATTATCATGGTCAACATCCCTGAACGAGGGAGGGCATGTCCACTCACCCCCGGAGCGGCTGGCTGAAGTGACGTGTGTCGAGGCGGCGTAGGGGCGTTCGTCACTCACCTGCGGCGGGGCATACACGACGGAACGGGAAGCGGGGTGGTGAGGAAGAGGTTGGCTGGCATGCCGCTCTCTGGCTCTTCGCTTGCTAGGCACCACGCAAACAGGGAATAACGTGATGTCGAGCGGGGGAGGGGCCTCGGAATCCGGTGGCAGTGAACAAGATGTAAGCTTCGGACTCGCGTATAACTGATTCTTCATCGCCCGAACACGGCGGGATAGATAGATGACGGCACACTGGGTCCCAGCAGCGTCTTGGCGCCGACCGCAGCCGTCATTCACAGCCGTCCACGAGGTCCGCACGCGAGCACCAGTGAGGACGATAGAAGTCAGAAGTCCAGGGATGAGAACAGGGACGGAGGGGGGAAGCCCATGGGCACGGACCACGCTGCATGTCTAAGCCTTGCCAGGTCAATTCAACGCCAAGACAACGCCACACCTGATGCCACGAAGAGAATCTTCCAGCCACATTTATGTAATCAGCCACCACAGCGACCGTCGAGGAAACCTTGGCATTGTTCGACGTGTCGCCACGTTCCAAAGGGTGGACAGCCAAAGCCTTTGCGTTACAACGCTTGCTCGCATGGTTTCCGTTTGCATGTGGTGGCTATTCCCATCCGCCCCCGACATGGCCCAATACTTCCCTCCCCTCCCTCACCAACAACTGGGATCTTTTTTTTCTTCCTGGCAATCGAATTTGAATATTGGAATTTCTCGGATCGCTGCGGCCGTCGCGAGAGGGGTTCAGTTCCTCCAGAAGGCACTTTTGCATTGCCCCCCCCCCCCCCCCCCCCCCTTCCCCAGTTGCGCCGATCCTCCCGTCTTACTTGGACACGGTGGTTTGCTCCACATACAAACGGGTAGCCTGCTGCTGCTGTCTTTTTCTGTTCGCGGTTGTCGTTGCTGCCTTTTGAGCTGGTGAAGTGGATTTGGAAATGTTGAATCATCATCATCATCATCAGGCCAAGACTGCGCTTCGGGGACTTTTTGCCCCCCCCCTCCTCCTTACTGCCTGGGATCAATTTTGAGTCATGCTGCGCCATGTGCGCTGTTAGGCAAGAAGGCCTCGTTGCAACCTCAGGATAGCGAACGCATCCCATCCCATCCCATCCCATGTTGGAGCGGGAGGGAGGAAACGCCCTGCAAGCGTCTACGGGCCGACGTGGTGATCTCTCGCATTCAAGTAGGTAGGTTCATAAGTCTGATGGCACACTACGCACACTACTGCCATGGACGCCAGCGATGTGATGAGGTGAGACGACCGCGAGGCCCGGCCAAAGACCCCAACGTCGCACCACCTCGCATCACCAACGCCCCCCCGAACCCAAAGTCGCATGCATGTCCCCCACGTGATACTGTACATCATCAGACCTTCCAGCCTGCATCACACCGTGTCACCACGCCCCCTCTTCTCCCAGGCAGTTCTCCCAGGCAGGTTGCAAGACAAGACCCGTCCTCACAATCGAGCAAAGCACAGCGGAGGAGCGACAATGGTTTGAAAGGGTTTCAGTGGCCTCAGGCCTGGTATATTCCGCGTCCCCCGAGGTTCTTCAGACCAGGGACGGCAATGCTATAGTACTCCCCACCCCTTGACCTGCCAGGACGATTCCGTAGAAGCCTGTGCAAGAAAAAACTAAAAAACTGAGAGCGATGAGAAAGAAAAAAAATGTACCACCCCCGTATGACCCCAACTCCAGTTGGTGTATGCAGATGCCTCCATTACCCGCCGAGTATTAACAAAGGGAAAAAGTAAAAGACCAAAGGCAGTATTCTTCTGCCGCGCCCAAACAATCTCGTCTAGGTGTAATTTGGTATTGAACAAAAAAGAAAAAGAAAAAGAAAAAAAAA